ATCCACACACAAACGGCACCCTATTCCCCCCCTCCTGTACACACACCCACGAGGGAGCCGTTTCACAGGTCAGGATGAGTCACCTTTGTGAGAAAGGACCTTCTCTGGATACATTTACAGAGACAGTAATTACTTGTGTAAACAGACGGAGGTAAGTAAACTCTCTCGGGAGGCAAAGCTACACTCAAGTTGACTGAGCTGTCGCCTGAGGGGGTCTACGAGGCACTAAGCTTCTCAAAGCAAAAACAATTAGCAGTGGGAGATTTCTGTGGGACTGGATCAGCCTCTGAAGCTGAGTCCATCTTTTTGAAATCAAGTGCAAACCCGTCCTGGATTGTCTCCTGAGGAAGGACGGTCATTCAGGGCGTAGCTCTTGTTCTCGGAAAGCTCACCCCACCATAGGGTGTGACTGAACACAATCACCTGAGTCATTTAAGGTCGAGTACCACCAACCGCCCACCAGCTGCAGCGTGGAAGTCGGTTGTAACCTGGACGCTACTTCTCCATGTTTTTGTATGATTAATGAGCACTAGACTTTCAGAAATTGAAATTGAGAAAATACTAGTATATATACTTGTATTGTCGGTGTACATCCACCTAAAAGGCGCAGGTTTTTATTATGAGGGTCTCACAACATTATGGATAGAGAACTTCAGCATTTTCCTTTGAATTTTGCTCTCTGTATCAAAATCGCCCACATCCACAGTAAAACACCATTTGGCTGCCCCCTTTTAGTGGATAAGTCCTACTTATTGGTTGTTTGGTCTTAGAGAACTAGCATCATTTATTAATGCTTTATTTGTTCTTAATTTCGTATTCCCAAGAAAACTTTTGAGCACATCTCAAACTTGAAATGTATGATTTGACATTATTGTCTGTGGAGGAAAGTAGTTTTACAGAGTCAACTAAAATCTCATTAGTTAAGAACAGACCTAAAATATTTAGACATGACAATCAAAAATCTTTTAGATAACACTTTGCCACACCCAGCACTCTTCTTTCCAAATTTCTGTCACGTTTCCAAGTCACATGACAAAGAAAAACATGTTCTCACGCTATAGATTCCTTTAAATCATGCTGTCAGACACGTTTAATAATAATAAGTACTTTGAGTGCATGTGCATTGACGATGGCAAATTGCCCTGATGCTTAGCAATGCAGCTTGTTTTGGAACTGCCATCTGCAGAGTCCTAAATCAATCCAGGACCAGTGTAACAATTGTTGTCCACATTAGACACAAAAACATGTCATTCAAATTCAGTCTCTGTAGGTTCATTTGAATTTATATCTGGATGACTTTCCTGATTAAAACCTGGAAGCATCTCAAATGGAACCTCGCTTGGGACTCACGCAAAAGGGAGTAGTGTTTTCTCCGTTTAAATAACCTGCTTGCTGCACGGTCCCCACATGTGCTTGGCTGTGAGAAAGCAGACACCCCAGCTGTCAATGTAAAGTAAAATGTCAGGCGCTGTAGTGAGCAGATAGACATCAGCGAGGAAGCAGATGAGTGACAACACTTACGAACGACATATTCTCACAAGAGGGGGGTTATCTTCTTCACATTGACATTTTTAAATGGCTGTCACAGAAGATTTGAGCTACAATAACAGAGACAGGAGCACTTGGAAACACACGACCGAATGGCACCAAAATAATCACACTCCCATGATGCATTCGTTTTTTCCACAGCTATGTTGGCCGTAAATATCCTCAACCTACAGTAGCAGGAGCTAGGAATTTATTACACACAACACTGCACTAGAGGCATGCACATAACGATTTCTCAGGTGTGCCATGTTTGTCTCCACGCAACATGCACGGCAGCCAGCCAATGGGGTGTCACACTCACTCCATCATGCACGAGCTAGAGTACAACCTTACTTGCAGAGGCAGGGCACTACATTAGAACCATTTGCAGCCAATTGCTGGTATAATGTGCAGCAGGCTGGTAGATTTGCATTTACTCACCACCAGCCAAAACAAAATGGAGCTCAGGTTTTTTTCTAATCCGCTCAAATCTGGAGAAGGACATTTTCTGCTGTTGTATGCATTTGAGATGCATACGTCGGCGATTGTACAGTATGCAGTATTTATTCAAAATGATGTCTGCTAAGAAGTGCGCTGGACTTCGAATCAGGGGGTAGCAGGTTCGAGTCCCACTGCAGTCAGCATGTCGTTGTGTCCCTGGGACACTTCACCCCAAGTTGCTCCGGTGGGGATTGTCCACAGTACTGAATGTATGTAAGTCGCTTTGGATAAAAGCGTCTAACAAATGACATGTCATGTAATTGCCAAGCAGCAACAGGGGAACAACTAATCTACAGAGCTGTAGTCGGGATGCTGGAGACAGTATGATTGAAACACGTGCATTGATTGTTCAGGGATGACACAAGGTAACAAATGACCTGACATTTAAACCTGCAATAGCCAACAATAAGTCTGTATTTGGCAGGTGTTACGTGCTTATTGTATTCCCTGTTTATGGTGCTGAAACAGTCCCTGATGTAAAGGAAGGTTGGCTTGTTGGTGTTTGGTAGCTTTAGAAACAGATTTAACATTCTCTCTAGGGGAATCATTTACTTGATTTTGCTGAGAAAAAAGTGAAGTTAGTCTAAGTGCATGTGGGCGTGGCACAATAGTGGATCATTGGAATGGATTTGTTTATTCTAACACAGGATTCAGGAGAGAGTAAGATAGCAAGAAAATGTGTTTTTATGGGCATTTATCAAGAGGTGAACAACACAAGGTGAACGAGATGTTTCTGATTGGCAGGCCAGTTTAAAATGATACAGTTACACTTTTTAACAACAGATTTGTATTATCTAAATTATCATCAGTTTTTTCTTTGTTAATCAAACTCCCCCTCTATGTTTCAGCAGCCAAGTGTATTTTGAAATCATCGCTGATGCCAAAGTGGAATAGACAAATGCGTTGCAAGCCAAGTAAATAAAAGCAGCATGTGGTTGAGGGCTGGTGATAAATGCATTCCCTAATTAGTGAGGCTTGAAAAGCTTACACTGGGAGGAGAGGAAAGGCATTTATTTCAAGAGTTTCTTATAAAGGAAAGTGGAGACCCCTCGACATGCGTGTGACTATTTATAACTTGCATTACTGGCTCATTTCTTATCATGTATTAACTTATTATTTTATATATTTAATAATGATTTTAGCTTTTAGACCTGCTAGTATAAGTTGTGTGTTTATTATCATGCATTGGTAGGATTTCTATTTGAGTCAGTGTGTTTTGGTGTTTATTTTTTGATTGTTTTATAGTGACTTTTGTCTAATTCTAGATGAAAAACATAAATTCATGTAGGTTTAGAAAATATGTATTGTGCATTGTAAAAGGTCATGCTGTTATTGTGTGTGTTGCTAACAATGTGACCTCTCAAAGGGGGAAGTATAAATCCCTCTGCCTGTATGTTTCTGTCTATATGGGCCGGTCCTCTCTGAGAGGATGTTTGGGCCCGCTTGCTGCACTGTTGTCCATGACTTTGTTTGTGTTGGACAGTTTGAGGGAGCCGGGGGCCGAGGACATGCTAATGAGGTCACTGCAGTGCTGCGGTCGAGCAGGCAGACTGCATACACTCCCCAAAAAGCACCTTTAAGGAAATGGCCCACTAAACTAGAATGTGTGGTTTAGTGAGGAATGACTCCTCGCTTTTGGCACACGCTGTCCCTGTGATGTCAGCAAGTATAGCGTGTGGAACTTCATAGATCATTCATTTGAAAGGACTTACATGACACTCATTGACCAGTAAAGATGTTCTGAGTATACTGTATGGGACATTTTATGTTTCTCACCTGACAACACTATAATACAAATAAATAGGGTTCTATCTCATCTTCAAATGAGGTAGATGTATTTCTATTTTTGCCACTCAGAATACAATTCAAATGTGTTCTTGCTTTTTGTTTGCTACCCTTTGAGGTATTTTCTACATTATTGAAAAAATTATAATGTTACTAATTATAAGATACTTAATTGCAATGTCACATTTTGTTATAAGATTCATAACATCCAACTTCCCATGTCTTTGCAGTTTTGCAGCATTTGAAATGTAGATTTAGGACATTTCCATTCCAATTAAGGCCTTATTTTTAGATCACTAAATTGAATACATTTTGAGGCTTTCTGAGGATTCAAACACACTCTAAATACATCCTATTTATTACTGCTTAAGACAGCTTCATTTAGCTTCTAAATTAATTATCTTTAAAATGATGTGCATGTGTTCGTGTTGAAATGGTGTTATTAAGTGGTTCAATAAATTATATATGAATGCTAGGATGGCTTTGGAAAGCTGGCCGCACACATATCATCTCTGCAGATGATCCAAAATCTACACAAAGAAGTACCCACGCAGTGTACTTGTATTATCAAATATACATGCCAACAGTTTTCTGAAAAGACAGTGTGTTTGTGTGATTAGTTTTAAGTTCTGGCTGAAGTAGCAGGGTCAGTCACGCCCTTGTCAGCTGGCAGTGGGGCTGTCACCTCGCGGAGCATCAGGGGCCCGTTGGAGCGGAAGCTGGAACAGCGTGTTCCAAAACAACAGCGACAGTTAGAGCACACTTCTGTTCTGCACGGGACGCTGTAGTGGACACTGGACAAACCGATTAACTGTCATCACCCGCCCCAAAATCCCATCCCACGCACTGCTGATGCTGCCCCTCATTAAGTCTCAGAACGTGCAATGCTGTCCTGTTATTAAAGGAACTCAAACAATGTGATCACAGGCGTGTTTATGTTTCTACTGATATTTCTTTCACACAGGGAACTCTTTCTGCTATAAACATTAATATCAAACTGCTGTGAGGGTTTTGTGATGAAGTCAAACAGGACTAGGACATTTAGTTGACACTGCTGCCCCCTGCTGTTCAAATGTAGTAACAACCACACTTCTTCCTACAACCAGACCTATTAAATGGGATAGCAAAACAATGCTATCAGTGTGATTTGATGAAGCATGTTTATCCAGTTTGAACAAGACACTGACCGCTGAGTCCTGAGATGACCCCCGCTGCCCTTTAAGCTCCGCTAGCTGTCTCTCCATGTGGTAAACCTCCTCAGACATTTGCCTATGGAAAGCACAAACAGTTTGGCAGGGTTAAATATGTGGAACCTTACCTCTAAATAGCCTTCTGGTAAATAACCAAAAGAGAGAAAACTCCCTTTAAAAAGAGATAGAGTTATAAACGTCTGGGTGGTTCAGTAAATCATTTTCTTAAGACTAGGGAAACATTATTCCTTAAAACATGGCTACAACTGATACAGTTATGGCTGTTTACAATATGTATTGATTTATGAAGTGATACAGAGATATCAAAAAAACATCCATAATGGTGTGATGCTGTTTAATGTAAAAACATCCTTGTTTTCTGTCTTTTAAAGCTCATAAGCATGTAGTGTTTCCACTTTTACTCTTGTCCATAGATTTCAAATCATAATCTAAACAAAGCACCTTATTGTAAATACAGTATAATCACTGGAGTTGTATTGGATCTATGTTTACCTGTGCACAGCCTGGGCCCTGCTCAGTTGGCAGTGGAGACGCTTCACAATGGCTTCATAGCGCTTGTTCTGGATCTGAAAAAAACATTAACGGAAACAAAAATGATCATTTTGGCCTTGAGACCTGATACCTGATTGGTGCTTTTGTATTTTAAAATAAGTTGTGTAACAGTCAGCCATCCGGTGTTGCATTTAGGTCATCTGCAAATATTGGCTAAAGGAAATGTCTTCATTATTATCACAAAGTTAGTTTAACCTTCATGTTGTTTTTGTATAAAGTAAAGCATTTAATGTATATTAGTACTGGAAATAGAGATACTCTTTATGATAGCAGACATTGAACCGTTTTAGCTGGCCAAACTAATGTCATCAATACTTTTCAGTTATCTGTAGATTCATAATAAATAATTGTTAGTAGTGGCCCTTGTCGATAAAGTCACCATTTCTCTCTCCCATACCTCTATGTCTTTCTTTATCTGGGCATGAGTTAAAAACTCTTGTCGCACTTGCTCTTTCTTCGCAGCTATAGACTCCCTCATCACAGAGATCTCCCTCTTCAGAGTTTCATTCTCACTCTGCAGAAAAGAGATGGATACAATCAACATGGTAGGTTTGAAGTTTCAAAGAGTTAATTATCCTCTAATGTATGTTCTCCACCTTTGCCATCTGCACTGTGTTCCCGTTCGGATTATCCAAATCTGCCTTCAGCGCCTCTTTCTTCTCTCGCAGCATCTGGACAAGCACTCTCTTCTCCTCCAGCTCTCTGTGGGCCTCCGTCTGGCTCGCTGCATGCAGAACAGCTGCTCTGTGACCCTCCATCTTGCTTTGGTAAGTGTTGAATCTCGCCAGTGCCATGCAAGCGTTCTCCTCCTCCTCACTTGTGCCAATGTGGATATCTGTTATTTCCTTGCTGATGGATGCATAGCGCTGATACAGGACTTTTGTCTGCCGCTCCAGGTGCTCCATCTCACCCTCCAGCATTAGGAATTCCCTAGTTTTAGATCTTAGGTCCCGCTCTAACACCTCGCCCTTCTTCTCAACCCCTGAAAGAACTGCCTGATAAGGGAGGCAAACCAAAATGTCCAAATCACTGTTTAATCCCCAATAATTCATTTTTTGTGAAGCAAAGGTGTTTTGAAAGAGACATAAAATCACACTCACAGCTTAATCTCGTTGAGAGATTAGAAACCATGTCTATTCCTTTTTGCATGGAAGCATATTCCTTAATAATTAACGATAAGTATGTGCAAAAACTACCATTTAAATAGACATTTTGTTACACATGTACGTTTGGTTCTAACACATTATACCCCTACTAATTGTTATGCAATAATAATTGTGTAAAACTACTGCCTTTTCTATTTAGCATTACCATAACTGCAGTGGCACACCTGCAGTGGCATTAATCAACACAATCCCCTTTCTTTCATCCAAACTAATTCTTATCTAATGGAAATGTGAAAACTTTGAAAACAGATTGGGTGTGGAAGCAGGTTTAGATGAAGCCATATACTATATTAAACCCTATATTAAATTAAACCTGCAGGGAGATGAGTGTCTTCTGCTTGTCTTTCAGGGTCTCAGCCTGGGCATAGCCGTGTTGACTGACATCCTGCACCGCCTTGGTTAATGAAAACCTAGGCTTCTCCTGTACTCCTGGGCCTGGGGGACAGTAAACACAAGTGTATTGAAGAAACTGTAAATGTTCGCATAACAAAATGTAAGGGATTTAAACACGTACCTTAACAAACCTTTAATTAAGTTATAGCTACAGCTTAACTAGCAGCATATAAAGTTAATAGCAAGTTCAAAGTTTCAAAGCAGGTCTCAAGGGAGCTACAATTGCTAGTTTATTAGCCTAATATTAGCGTTAATGTTTTTGATAAAAGTTAAAAAACTCAGTTAAACAAACTTCCACAACATTATTAATCTTTTGTCAGTGAACATGTTTAACTATATTTGTTGTGTTAATACATTACCATCTTCACTGGCTTCAAATGATGACATTTTGACATCAGTTAGCTAACGTTATGTTAGCGAGAAGCTCGTTGATATAATGATTATAATGACGTGCTAATTGATGTAGCTGACAATAAAAATGGTATTGAGTGTTTAAGTCACTGAGTCTAAGAAATACAGTTAATAATAAAATATTAAATTACGAGCATTTTTTACTTAAGGAAATTATTAGAGAGCTATTATTTAATATTTTATATAATTCAACGAACTGCGTAAACAATACAACTACAGTTCCCAGAGGTCACCTCTGCTCGACCTGGTTACGTTTCCAAAGCTACATCCGGTCTCTACAGCTAGCTACAGCTAGGAGGTGTGACAGGAGGGTAGCTACAGTGGAAGTGACAGTTGTTCTGCTTTATGAATGGCCCTTTTTAAAAGTAGTAAAATGCTCGTAAATCGCTTGCCTCGACTGTGCTCTTTGTGTAGCCGTGTATTCTACAGCAGCAGAGGAAGAAGAGCAGGCTGGAGGACACTTACAGGACACACCAGTCTGGAATATGCTAACATCACACAGGTGCAACAACACTGGGGCACAGTAGCACCAAAACGCCTCTCTCATAGTGATTTTGGGGACTTGTACAAGACTGAGTCTGTTCAGAGGTTTCTCCAGCAGCTCATGGAGGAGTACAAGGACTCCAGTAAGAAGATACAGCATGCACAACTCAGTGAATCAGAGAGGAAAATACTCATCAAGAGGCAGAAGGAGTTGCTGCCTCTGGCAAATGTGTTTGAGAATATTCAACAAGCCTTGAAAGACCTTGAGGAAATCCTTTCACTCCTGCATAGTGAGTATTTTATTATATTTATGTCAGAAACAATTATCAACATGTAGCTACATGCTATAACTAATAAACTCACAATTTAGTGCCCCATTGATCCTTTATATATTTTTCTTAGGTTGTGTAGGAGTCCATTTAAAGTCTGACAAAGTCTTGCAACTAAGAATATAAGGTTCTTTCAGAATGTCTTTCAAGTAAACAATAGGTATTGCTGTCGATAAATAAGAACTAAGGGTCAATATTCTATTACAAAATATCTATAGGCCTATATAATGTATTTTTTTTATTTTGTCAGAACATTCATTGTGTATTTCAGGCAGTTAATGCAGTTGGGATGAAAATATCTGCGATTTCTGCATTGCTTTGTTCAGGTTCAGCAGGTACCAAAGATGAAGATGAACAGTTGACCCAGCTGTTGAAAGACGAGGAAGCGCAAATCTCACACAATATTTTGGCCTTAAGAAAAGATGTGAGAACACAAGGGCACGATCAGACATGTGTAAAAATGTGTTATAGAACAGTTAATAACATGATACTCTTTCTCTCCAGTTAATCAGGGCTCTTGTTCCTGTCGACCCTCTGGATTCCAGTAATGTTGTGATGGAGGTTGTATCAGGACGGACAACAGGAGGTACGAAAGAATCTTCACTATGTATCAAATAAAGATGTCAAATAACATCCCGTTTGTTACGTTAATATCCGTTGATGTGATTTCAGGGGACATCTGTCAGCAGTTCACAAGGGAAATGTTTGACATGTACCAGGGCTTTGCCTCTTACAAGAATTGGGAGTTTGACGTTTTGAACTACACAACTGCTGAGATGGGTAAGTCACATTTTTGTTTGTATCACTCTTTTATCATCTAGTCAAATGAAGCTTGAAATGTCTGTCCTTAATGTTGTATATTCTGCTTCATATGGCCAACATCTTCTATAGATATCATTTTTCATTTAATAATTTAGACTGTGTCTCTCAGGTGGCCTGCACCATGCAGCCATGAGAATAGCAGGGGAGAATGTGTACAGACATGTGAAGCATGAAGGGGGGACACACCGGGTGCAGAGGATCCCCGAGGTGGGCCTCTCCTCCAGGATGCAGCGTATCCACACGGGAACCATGACTGTCATCATCCTGCCTCAGCCAGTGGAGGTACTCTACTCTCTGCTTACTCCTCAGGCGGTGTTTACTAGCATGAAGAGACAGTAAATAGTAACCAAATAAATAATTGATATCACAAAAAAGGGACATTTTATGGAATTTTCAGGAAGTTATTACATGAAATTGTTCTACATGCCTCTCTATTTTTGTCTCCCGTGTTCACAGTTTGACGTGCACATCGAACAGAAGGACCTTCGCATCGACACGTTCAGATCTCGGGGCGCCGGGGGCCAGAGCGTCAACACAACAGACAGCGCAGTGCGCATCGTTCATCTTCCCACCGGTAAAACATGCAGGAGTATTTCATCCCTCCTGTCGTATCAACATCACGCCTTATAGTTTATTCTCTTGCTTATCAACAGGTGTAACAGCTGAGTGCCAGCAGACCCGCTCTCAGCTGAGGAACAGAGACCTTGCCATGGGCATGCTGCGGGCCCGGCTCTACCAGGGCATGAGGAGTAAAGACACTGAGCAGAGGCACTCGGCACGAAAGCAGCAGGTAAGTGAACTCCCAATTTGACAAGGAACACAGATATAATATTCAGAAATCTTTTTAACTTCTTATCTGTTTTCCCCCATTCACTACAGGTGGGCACACGTTCTCAGTCAGAGAGGATTCGAACCTACAACTTCAGCCAGGATCGCATCACAGACCACAGGACTGGGTATGTTACGAGAGACATTAAGGTAAGGGAGTGTCCGCAATCATAAGAAACCAGCACACTTTCTTTTTGAATATTTATTGTATCATGCTTTATTTCCTGGAAGTTGAATGTGTTTTGCTCCATGTTGTAGGAGTTCATGAGAGGAGGCGAGGATCTGGAGGATCTGATCTCTGACGTGCATGAGCATGCAGAGAGGGAGGCTGTGCTGGAGGTGGTGGAGAGCCGCGGCGTGAAAGCGTCCTGACAGACTGCACACTGAAGTCAAATATACTCAACAAGTACTGTGACTGCACATCGGAGCTGACATATCAATATGAATGTATGCAATAGTCACATTTCAAAGGATGCCATGGAAGACAAACTGAGGAATATGTATTTTTATAAATTATCAATACTTGAAATGTAAATGCATTTGCTTATCAACGTAGTAAGTTATTACTAGCTAAGAGCTGCACATATATACTGGAAATGTTTTTTATAATAAAGATATAGTGTATGAAGTGGTGGAGGAAGCATTCAGATCCTTTACTTTAGTGAAAGAGCTAATGCCGCAGTGTGAAAATACTCTATTAAAAAATGCCTCGTGAAAATGTTATGGAAGTATGGAAGTATAATCAGTCAGAATCAGATACCTTTATTAGCCCCACAGAGGGGACATTTGCAGCGTTACAGCAGGAAAGAGCCACAGCTTAGTGTTGCATATCTTACATGCCTTAAAAAAAGTAGTTATAATATAATAAACAATATGCTAAAAAAAGATTAAAAGTTACATAATTTTCAAAAACAAATCAAATCAAATCTACAAATCAAATCCTGTAGTAGTTCTTAGGATTTAGCAGCCAGGTATAAATTACAGTTATTAAAGATGGCATATGTATATTAAGTATATATTGCACATAGTTTGACGGTATTTAACAGCAGCAAGTTACACAATTTACAAAATACAAGATACATACCTTGTAACAGTAACATGGGTTTAGTAGCCAGGTATAAATTACACAGTTATTAATGGCATATATATATTGCACATATAGCACATATTGCACAAAGTTGGTTTGTATTTAGCGGCAAGGGGTGTTATAGTCTGTGTTGTGGTGTGTGTAGGAGGGTCTACTAGGGGCAGTGCTGGTTGTAAAGTCTGACCGCTGCAGGAAGGAAGGACCTGCGGTATCTCTCCGTGAGTCAGCGGGGTGCAGCAGCCTGTCGCTGAAGGTGCTGCACAGTGAGGACAGGGTGTCCTGGAGGGGGTGGGACACATTGTCCAGCAGCGAGGACAGCTTGGCTGCCATTCTCCTGTCTCCCACCACCTCCACAGTGTCCAGAGGACTCCCCAGGACAGAGCTGGCCTTCATTACCAGTCTGTTCAGTCTCTTCCTGTCAGCAGCCGAGATGCTGCTGCCCCAGCAGGCCACACCATAGAAGATGGCTGATGCCACAACAGAGTCAAAGAAGGTCTGAAGGAGTTCCCCCTGCCCCCGAAAGACCTCAGTCTCCTCAGCAGAAAGAGTCTGCTCTGTCCCTTCTTGTACAGAGCAGCAGAATTATCAGTCCAGTCCAGTTTATTGTTCAGATGAACACCCAGGTATTTGTAAGATTTCACAATCTCAATGTCTGTTCACTGGTGTCGGGGGGGGAGTGTTGGCGCCGTCTGAAATCCACCACCAGCTCCTTGGTCTTTGATGCGTTGAGCTGAAGGTGGTTCCTCTGGCACCAGAGGGTGAAGTCCTGCGTCAGCTCCCTGTACTCCCTGTCGTCCTCGTTGGAGATGAGGCCAACGATGGCGGAGTCATCAGAGAACTTCTGCAGGTGACAGGTTGCAGTGTTGTGGGTGAAGTCTGCAGTGTAGAGGGTGAAGAGAAACGGTGCCAGCACCGTCCCCTGGGGGGCCCCCGTACTGCTGATGATGGTGTCTGATTGACACTCCCTGGTCCTCACGTACTGTGGGCGATTGGTGAGGTAGTCCAGGATCCAGGAGGTGAGGTGGTGATCCACCCCCGAGAGCTGCAGCTTGTCCCCCACGAGCGAGGGCTGGATGGTGTTGAAGGCACTGGAGAAATCAAAGAACATGATCCTCACAGAGCCCCCAGCCTTCTCCAGGTGGGAGAGGGACCTCTGCAGCAGGTAGATGACGGTATCATCCACCCCGATGGCAGGCTGATAGGCGAACTGCAGCGGGTCCATTGGTGGTCTCACAAGGGGCCGGAGGTGTCCAAGGACCAGCCTCTCCAGGGTCTTCATCAGCTGTGATGTCAGCGCCACCGACCGGTAGCTGTGGAATTCCTTGGGGTGAGGGGTCTTTGGCACAGGACGTCTTCCACAGTTGTGGTACCCTCCCTTGCTTCAGGCTCAGGTTGAACAGAAGCTCCACAATCCCACACATAATCAGGAAATTGTACTTAAAAGTAATATGCCGCTGTGACTGTTCTAATGTTACTGTATATATTCAAGCATTAGATGGATTTAGATAAAGCAAAATCATTTAAATAGAAAAGCACCAAATCGTCACCTATGATATTTCCTTGTTAAATTACACAATTAACATATTTGTCGATTGACCAGATCCACCAATCATATCAGCTGTACATTTTCATGTCTTTTTCAATATTAACTATACCTTTCAGATACATGTACAGGATGCCCACAGGATGTTCTCTCTACTCATGTTACATCTTTTAATGTCTACATCCATTCAGTTAAAATCATTTCAAAACACGTAGTCACCGGTCTTTAATCACCTTTATTCTTTCAGTATGACAGTCAGGTATGGTTCCACAGAATTGCTTTCACAATGATGAAAAAATACAAATATGGAAAATACAAAAAAATATTTGATTTGCTCTGTGTAGAAAAACAAGGGAGGATTTAAAATAGGACTGCAACTACCAATTATTTTCAATTTGTCTAGATTGATTTAACTATGTGGGTTTTAAAAATAAGTACATGGTGATGACTGTAAATGTCTTAATTAGTCAAAGATATTCACTTTAATATGAAATAAAACAGAGAAAGGCAGATGGAAATAAACAGCATTTTACTTTTCAGGTTACTCCAAGGTGTCCTACAATTGGTCATCATTCTCGACAAAACAAAACACTTCTAAATACATTTAAAAAAACAACAAAACTCAAAATGTCTAAAGTTCCTGTCTGTTGCAGCTGACAGAGAATCTGCTGTTGTGAGGTTTAAGAGAGGCATGAAGAAGAGTTGTGTTTGTGTGAAAGTCTCCTGCGTGACGGTTTTCTTTGGTCAGTCGTCGTCGTCGTCCTCTCTCTGTCGGATGCTTCTTGATTTGCCGTTCTGTGTCTTGTTCTTCCTGAATGAAGTAGACCCACCTTCCTCTCCGAGGGAAGTGATGACGCGCTCCTTGAACTTGGTTTTTGGCTCCGGCGGCGGCTTAGAGGCTGGAGCGCTGGCAGTGTATCCCTCCACCTTGGGAAGCTGTAAGTCCACCTTGGAACTGGAGAGGATAAGAAAAAGGAACCATTATCTACCAGCACATGTTTGTCAACTGCATTTAATTCAGCGTCTTAATCAGCCATCACTTACTATGGATCCACCTCTTCCTTGATCTGTTCCCAGGCTCCATAAGGATTGGCAGATTTTTGTCTTATTCTGATTTGTATCTTCACTGGTGCCTCCTCTTTTTTCTCTTCAGGTGCAGCTGCTGTGCTTTGGACATCCTCCTCTTTTTTCACTTCCTCTTTTACCATCTCTTCAGCCTCACCTTTAGGAGCATCCTCGCTCTCTTTATCTAGTCCCTCCTTTTCTAAGGGCTCGGCCTCTGCTTTCCTTTTCTGATAAAGGGAGAAAACGCATGAGGACTTTCTCAAAAGTGATATTCTTTATTGATTCTCATTCACTGTCCTCTCACCCTGAAGTTGATCTTTGGGTATTGGGGCTGCTGGAGGGCTTGTTCAGGGACTCCAGGCTCCTGAGATGCTGGGACCCCGCTGGAGCTCTCCTCTACCCCCGGGGGCTCCGGCTGAGGGGCCTCCTCCTGACTCCCTGAAGTGAATCCCGCTGGCTTCTCCCAGCTGCTCTCTGTGAGGTGAGGGAGACGGAGCATGTAGATCACCCAATAGAAATAAGAAATGGAAAATAATAAACTGATATTAGATCCAATGCTTACCCCTAGTTTCTGAGTTGTAGTAATATTTGTGACCCTCGGGACTGACAGCTTCCGTCCAAAGACCCCCTGAAGATCTCTGAAGAAAAACACAATATCAAAATAAATGCTTGTCATCGGCAAGCCAAGTCAATACACTAAAAATGCTACTAAAATGATTTACTTCGGGCTGTGCCGGGGCTGAGTTTGCTCCCTGGAAAGACTCTGGATTATCCCATCTAGATTCTGTAGTTAAAAAAAAAAACATAAAATCAAGTTAGAAAAAGTAGATTGAACAATTGTGGTAGTGTGTTGGTATACAGGCTGATGTTGGTGTACCTCCTGTTATTGTGTTGTAATAGTAAGCGTTTCCATCTTCAGTCTGTCCTTTAACCCAGACCTGCGCTCTCATTTGACCTCTGGGCATCTGGTTTGCTTTCTGTTTCTTCTGCTGTTTTTTGGACTGGGGTCCACCCTGGGGTCCGGACTGGTATCCACCCTGGGGTCCACCCTGAGGTCCACCCTGGGGTCCCACTTTAGGTTTTGCCTGGGGCCCCACCAGAGATCTGGCTTGATTAATGACCGGAGGTGTTTCCTCTTGTGTTGTTGTCTCGACTGGTACGCCTGATCCTATAACAAGAACACATGAATGTAGAATTCAATGTAATTAAGCCTGTATGTTGCACATGATATCAATAGCATACCAAGCAATTACCTCCTGACTCCTTTTCTATCCTCTTCAGATCTTCCTGATATGCCTTCATCGCAGCCTCCTCCATTTTCTGAAAGTCTTTAGACATGCGTTCCTCCTGCTTCGCATTGTCCATGCTCTTCTTTTTAATCTGCAGCAGGACAGATACAGTGGGTTGAGTGGCAGCATCAAAGTTGCCAGTAAGAAGCGAGTATAAGAGACAGAGTGTGATGTCTGGACTTTATCTCTCCTTCCAGTCCTGAAGATGGTGCCAAGACGTTTTTTCATGGCTGTGTAGTATGTTAAAAGCCCAGTTGGTCAGCTGATTCGGATTCTACCATGTACTAAATTACAACTCATCAGCATATTACTCCTAAAAAGGTTGAGTGTTCAAATTGTTTCTTCAGAAAAGGGAAACATATGTATACAAGTAAATACCTCGGTGATTTTTGCAGCCACATTTTCTTTGTGATTCTTCCCTCTTTCATGGAACTCGACGCTCTGCAGAGGAAAACAAAGCGAGACAAATGAGCATAGTATATCGGACACTGCCCTCTGCAACATGATCTGCATCTTTTGGGATACTCACAGGCTTATTGTCCGCAATCCAGCACTTGCAGTACTGGCAAAATTTCCTTGGTTGTGATTTCCAGTATTCCGTCCTGAAAATGAACCAAACTATCATTAGGGAACTAAACATTTGTGAAATACAGGTACATTTCCTTTAGCTTTGTACAGCTAACGCCGCTAGCCGGCTAAGTTTCTGCCCAGGGTTAATTATAATTGTATTACTTTTATAAAACAAACCATTAACTGAAATAAAGACACATTTCATGTATCCCCTTACTTACATTTTAGGTTTTTAGTGGTTAAAATACGACGAAATAATTTCAAACGAACCAAACATGACAACAGCTTCCCACATTTCATGAATAACAACAGAGTCCGTTTCTGATGATGTCATCTCCAGTTGCCGTAGAGACGAGCCCTCGAGGTTCTTTTTTATTTAAATTAATTGAACAAATTGTACATCTCACCGACTATGACAATTAGAAACCCTGTGCCTAACAAATAATTGGGGCATATATTTGTATGCAGACGGTCAGTAAAGAAGTAGAAAACATTATAGTAACTTTCTTATTATAGATTTATATTAAAAAGATGGCACAGAATTGTGCATCGGTCCCATATGGTCTAGCGGTTAGGATTCCTGGTTTTCACCCAGGCGGCCCGGGTTCGACTCCCGGTATGGGAACTACCGTTTTGACAAATAATATGTTCCTATAGTCGTTGTTGAATCACAAACCCTTCTAACATTCACAAATCATCAGAACTGGTCAGTAATCTAAACGCATTGTTAGATATTAGGTGAAAACGTGTTGGATAAGTGCAATGAAGCTAATGTTTGTTGCACTCTTGATGCAAGGACTCAACTTGCATCAACGTCACTTCTGAGCGCCAGAACGAAGTGTACGTTGTTAACCTGCGACAGGTCCGCCTTTGGTTTACCCTGAGCAGCATTTGCCGGTGTTGATAATCGGTTTCCTATCTAGTCCGTTGGCAAAGCTCCCGGGCCTCCCATGAACAGTACCATGGCTGCGTCCTCACACCGGATAACGATGGGTCCGCTGGTGGCTGCCATTGACCAGGGCACGAGCTCCACTCGGTTTTTGGTAAGACGAACCAGCTAGCTGTGTTGCATTCAATGTCTGGCTCATTAAGGTGTCCTTGGGTGGTGTGTCTTCCACCGTGTACTCTTGCAACCACAGGGACGGTTGTTGTCAGTGTTTGGTGTTGTTTCACTACTGCTGGATAAAGAGCTGCTAATTAACTAATAATGCTGCATTCAAGTGCTCCCTTTAGAGAGGTGGAATGAATGCTGCATTCAAGTGCTCCCTTTAGAGCGGTGGAATGAAGGCTAACAACATTTCACTCAAGTGCTGTAAATGTTTTTGATATGTGTACTTAAAGGTGGGGTAAGTAATTTTGGAGAAACCAGATCGAGTGCGCTAGAATTTTTAAAAATACACAGCCGGAAGAAATCTGCTACTTCCTTACAGAGCCCCTCCTCCAACACACACGAACGCGCACATGACCAATGAGGGCACGAGATAAGTTTGTGCACAGATGGAAGGCTAACAGGCAGGTAGGCCGTCCAGTTATTTTAGCCGCCCCTGCTCAGATGATTGGTCGTTTTTTTTACAGTACTACGGCTTCCACAGATGAATTTTTTTATGGATTTGTTGTCAAAGCACTTAAGATATTCATTGCTATCGGGATGTTAAGAGCATTCCATGGAATATAACAACAAGTGTATCTCGAGCCGGTTTCTCAAACGTACCTACCTCACCTTTAACTGAAGTCTTTACATGTAGACTAGAGGGAAACATTATACTTCTACTATGTTACATTTATCTGACAGCTTCAAGCACTAGTAGTAACTATACACATTAAGCTTTTTTACACAGAAAAAAAAAACACAAAATGGGGGGGAAATGTGATTTAGGTGGAGATTCTTTGAATTTGTCTTACCAATTGAAAACTAGACATATTTTTTAATATTTTAACACACAAACACAACTTAAAATGCTATATTTCCTTCTTGTTGTCCTACTATAATAACTTCAATCCTAATGTTTTAACATCAAATGGTCCATGCTGTGATTACTATACTGTGAAAATATGACAGTGCCTAGGCATAGTTGCAACTGTGCTGTTGTGTGCAAAAAGCCTGCATAGTAAAAACAATTCTGCTAAAAGTAGGTATTTCATTGTGTTGTTTTGATATAATTGTACCATGCATAAATATTAAAGAGCTATGTTCCTTCTTCAAAGGTGTTTAATGCGAAAACAGCAGAGCTCCTCAGCCATCATCTGGTGGAAATCAAACAGAGCTTCCCCAAAGAAGGGTTTGTGAAATGATACAAAACAATTCCTAAAATATGCATACACATTTAGGAAATGTAATCTTATTAATTGTGATACACTGCCATCTGTTTCAGATGGGTGGAGGAAGACCCCAAAGAAATTCTGCAGTCGGTTTACGAGTGCATGGAGCGGACGTGTGAAAAACTCACCCAGCTAAACATAGACATCTCAAACATTAAAGGTACGCAAGCTCACATGTTACCGATGAGGCCCTTTTCATTTATATCATAGTAAGGCGTTCATTATCTAAAAATGTGGAAATGATTTGAATCTGTGCAGCTATTGGAGTGACCAACCAAAGAGAGACCACGCTTGTTTGGGACAAAGAAACAGGGGAGCCCCTCTACAATGCAATAGGTACAGTTGAATGTTATTTGATTTATTATTTCCATTTATATAAGCACTAATCTGTGCCTTTTTAAAGAGTACGCAGACACAATCATATTGTATTTTAACAGATTTTTGGCTGCTGTGAAATAATGTTGTTTTTCCTTCAGTTTGGTTGGACCTGCGGACTCAATCAACAGTCGAACGTCTAATCAACAAAACTCCAGGAAGGAATAAGAACCACTTAAAGGTAAGCACTTAATATTTTAGCTTTCCATTGACGGGGCACCAGGTACAGTTGGTTTTAGAGAGCACAGATGGACAATGGGCCTCTGGGCTAACATCTGGCTTTTGTCATCAGTAAAATGTTCTACATTGTTCTACATTCTTCCACGGGACAAATGACTCTGCAGTGGTCACGGTATTTACCGGCTCCAGCCCTGCAGGGATGGAAACGTGACACACGCTCATTTTCACCCCCTTTTTCCCATTGAGAATGAAATAAAAAATGCCTGAAGGAAAATCTTAAGAGGACGATGCACTGAATATCAACATAACAAAGCTTGAGGATTTTTTCATTCCTACACATTTGATGTTAATTGAAGCACCATTGTTGCAATTTAAAGACACATACAGTCTGATCCCACTCTTGGTAGCAGCATTAAAACAGTTCTGTATGTCTCTGTCCCCCTGCAGCATAAAACAGGGCTCCCAATCAGCACCTACTTCAGCGCGGTGAAACTTCGCTGGCTGATGGACAACGTGGACGAGGTCCACGATGCCGTGGTGTCACATCGCGCTATGTTCGGCACCGTGGACTCCTGGCTCATCTGGGTCGGTAACGGTGTGGATGTCATTCAAATGTACATATGGGATGATGGTGAAAAACTGACCATTGGAGTGTGTTTCCGATGGATTTCCAACAGTGTTTGACTGGTGGGAAGTCTGGCGGCGTCCACTGCACAGATGTGACCAACGCCAGCAGAACCATGCTGTTTAACATCCACACTCTGGACTGGGACCCAGAACTCTGCACGTATGGCACCTACTTTCCATGGCCTTAAATCCCACTGTACTGCCTTTTCAATATCACTGAAAATGGTAAGAGAAGCAGAATTGTCTTCGTTATTCATTGGCCTTTCCTCTGATTTCCGTCAGATATTTTGGTATTCCCATGGAGATCTTGCCAAAAGTGAGGAGTTCTTCAGAAATCTATGGCCTCATGGTAAGGACACAAAATACAAATTCAAGTCTACTTACATTTACCCTATAATGGGTGTTTTAATTAACCATGTCTCATGCCACAGATTTAAGCTGATGTCATGCATAAAGGTTGTCTGAAAAAGCATTTGTAGGCATTTTTTGTGAGCCATTGTCTCTCTTCTCTCAATGGTAGAAATTATGTTCTAGCCGGGTAAGTAATACTCGCCATTTTAAACCCGTCCCGCTTCTCCGTGGCCAAAGCACACACACACCATCACACAGTGCATTTCCAAGATTCATACAAAGGCTAATGATTTATTAGCTACAAAGTTAACTTAGTTTGCCTTATTGCTGATTGTAAATGTTTAAACGGGTCACATTGGGGTCACTAACTATTAACTAACCAGGTACATTTGCTACTGCTTACTTTTCCAATGATCTATGAGGCTTTATTGTTTGTAATGCTTATTGTTTTGGTATTCCTGCCTGCATTTCTGCTGCTTTTATATCTCCAGATGCAGCAGTCAAGGCTCTCAATATCATATGTACGTTAGGGAATATAATGGATCCGACCTATGGGAGCTAAAAAGACAAATATCCTTAAGGAATGAAAGTGAATATTTGAGGAACTCCCTCTGAAGGGAACACAGAGATTTTAGTCTTTGCAGACCATTTACATGCACACAAACCTATATAACACACCAAATGGACAGCAGAGACATGAGTGTACAAAAAGATTGACCAAGTTTTATCTTGAATTTGAACCCAGTTTAACCACACACACATATTATGGTATGCGTGTTCGCTGCATTGGAAATGTACTAGATGCCCCCCCCCCCCCTCCTATCATTGCTTCTCGTGGCATGCCATTGGCCGGCCATCTTCCTCTGCAAAGTCCTCAAATCTCTTCACTCTTTGGCACACGCTGATTCCACCAACCTTATTTTTCTGTCTTCATGAGAACATGAGTAGGAGTGAAGACATTTCAATGTAAATTACTATTACTATTCACGCTCACTGCTACAGTATACTTTCTGTAAAAAACAAAGTGGTAGTGTGTGTTTGTTATTTGGCTTCCTGTAGTCAAATAATGAGGAATCCTCCCTCTGTTTTCAGTTGTGTAGCATGTAGCTCATAGTGATTTGTTTCTGTTGAATTAGTTCAATTAATTTCATAATAAACAGTAAATATATGTCAACACATGTTGGAATGCTCTTTAATGTGTCGTACACAGTTCCCTTATTAAACATGTTTTTTTTGTTGGCAGAAATGTGGAGCCCTCTCAGGGATCCCCATCTCTGGGGTAGGTTCATCTCTGTTTTCCTTTCCAATATTGTCTATGTAGTTTTAATGCTTAAAAGGTATTTGAGAAATTTGCAGTGTTTCCACCTGATGGGTTTATGTGTGATTTAAAAAACAGTGTTTAGGGGATCAGTCAGCAGCGCTTGTTGGACAGATGTGTTTCCAGGAGGGGCAGGCGAAAAACACGTGAGTCATTTCTGCATTAACATGTCTAAAAAACGACTAGACTCATGTTATAGGTATTCTCTTAAATGTTTTGTTAGCGTTATAAATCCTGCTGAAAGTTTGCTTCCTGATGTGTTTCAGGTATGGAACTGGCTGCTTTCTCCTGCGAAACACTGGAGCTAAGGTACAATACGTCAGATTTGCATTTGAACAGTTCACATCCCTTCAAATATCGCAGACACACACTGGCATTTCTCTCTTTGTGTTTTTTTTGTAGCCTGTAATGTCCGAACACGGCCTTCTGACCACTGTGGCGTACAAACTTGGCCGCGACCAGCCTGCGTGTTACGCACTGGAGGTACAGAATCTTAAATACACACATTTTCACGACATTATTAAATCATACTTTTGTGTTATTCTGGTGCTTTTTCCAAGGGCTCTGTAGCCATTGCAGGCGCTGTGGTTCGTTGGCTGCAGGACAATCTGGGAATCATCAAATCCTCTGAAGAGCTCGGTATGTGCTGAAATTTTACAAGCAATAATGAAATCTTATTGTTTTAAAGGGGTATCTTGATCTTTGATTGCTTGAATCTTCATATTTAAGAATCAAAGTTGGTGATATCTTACCTGTCTATGTATTGCAATGTATTCCTGTTTGTGTTTTCCCCGCTGCAGAGCAGTTTGCAGCGTCAGTCGGCACTTCCTACGGCTGTTACTTTGTTCCTGCCTTTTCGGGCCTCTACGCACCGTACTGGGAGCCCAGTGCAAGAGGGTAAGAAGAAGAAGACACAAATTCAGATCAGTGTCTAAAATCCTTCACCGTCCTTACTCTCTGTTCACTCGATACTCTCTGACAGGATCATCTGCGGGTTGACTCAGTTCACTAATAAGTATCACGTGGCGTTCGCTGCACTGGAAGCTGTGTGTTTCCAGACACGGGAGGTAAGCACATGAATGCATATTGTATTTCCACACTTTTCACACTGATGTTGGTGAGAAAGGTGCTCAATTTCCCAAAACTATTTCAACACACTCGTCTAATACATACTCAATGTAGCAATCCGTTTGGTAGATTTGTATATATTTTTAATTTAGATGTAGGTATTTGTGTGATAACTGTTTTTCTGTTTTCTTTGAAGATCCTGGACGCTATGAACCAGGACAGCGGTATTCCCCTCACCCAGCTCCAGGTGGACGGAGGGATGACGTCCAACAAGCTGCTGATGCAGCTGCAGGCCGACATCCTCTGCATCCCTGTCGGCAAGATCCTTTTATCATATTTTTCAATAGGGTGATGCTAAACGGGAAACTGTTGTGTGGGTGCGGAAAACTCAGAAACTCTGGCAGTAGGTCGGTGGACTTGCATACATACGACAAAAGGTTTTGGTGCACAAAGTACATTTTTATCAACATAAAAGTCCTTTTCTAGCCTGCATCAAACTGTGATGGTGCTACACTGAGCATTAATACCATCTGCTTGCATAAAGTGGAATAGATGACACACTGAATAACAAACACTAGAAAATGAATAGAAATTGCAGCTTTTGGAAATGTACGTATTTTGGTCAACATGCAATATATTTGTTGTGTTTGTCCCATGAATATGTCCATAAAGATGCATCAACTTGTTTTTCTTACCCGTAAACATGGTGTTGATTGTGCTTTGCAGTGAAGCCGTCCATGCCTGAGACCACCGCTCTGGGCGCAGCGATGGCAGCGGGGTCAGCCGAGGGGGTGAGCGTGTGGAGTCTGAAGCCAGAGGACCTGAGTGAAGTCACCTCGGAGAAGTTCGAGCCTCAGATCAACCCTGAAGGTACTGACTTCTGTCACACGGAGAGAAGCACACGTCTCCAGGAGCTGAAATGTAAAAGCTTGTCTTTATATCTGCAGAGAGCGAGTTCCGCTACGCTCGATGGAAGAAGGCGGTTCAGAAATCCATGAACTGGGAGACCACGGAGCCGGTCGGCAACGGAAACGGTGAGCAGGAACCACACTATGACCTAGGGCTGGGCGATATATCAATATTGTATCCATATCATTATATGAGACTAGAAATTGGCTTAGATTTTTGATATGGCCAATATAAATGTCAGTATACGAACAAACCTGATTATTAAAATGTTATGTCGCAAATATTTTGTTAAAGCACTGATGGTCAATCCTACAATATTGCATTTAGACATCATGGTATGTTGTAGAAAATAATGTGATATATGAACTGTCTCCAAATTACCCAACCCAAAAAGGAACCAAATTCAGACTCTTGTGACCCATGTCAGTAGAAATATTTTTAGAACCATGATCAGAAAACTTAAGTGGACCAGAATACTTAAGGATATTTTGGATCTTATAGGGATAGTTTAGATGTTTGGAAGAGAGGGTTATTTGAGCTATTTCTCCAAATATCCAATCCAATAATCGCATGTCCATATGTGCATTGGAAGTGTTGGGGAATAATTCTCCTAGATATCCACCTTTTGCCCTTTGACGTTTATGACCAACCCTGACATCTGTTATCTCCCTTAAGGAAGGGGCTGCTTCAGCCATATGTTGTTGTTCCCAGTTTATGACCGGGCAACTCTCGATCACAAATGGTTTATTGTTGTGGGTGTGGACAACGAAGGAACGCTTCCTTCTTGGGGTTTATGGACTCCAAGGTGTGAAATCTTCGAGGCCATAAGCGTCAGACGCAAGTAATTCAGTGTCCCCCAGCTGTTTAGTCTATCTGCCCAAGAATGTTGATTACTCTCTCTGAACTGAAAAGGTCTATCGAGAGAGAGGCGCTTCAGAATTGATGTGGCAACTCTACCGTGAAGTCAGAACCTCTGACTCTTGACTTGAATAAACCTAAAATAAATAAACCATCAGTGTTTGACATCAAAGCTCCAGCTCTCCCCGTGTCTCCTTCCTGAGTCGGTGACTCCTCCTGCATTGCTTCACAGAAGTTTCTCCCACAGGAAGGATTATTATATAGCTTATTGTCTTTCTTACTGTCCATACTGGATCCCTTTTCTAAAACAGTTTTTTATAGTTTTCAAAGCATGTGAGGCCTAACGTGCACAACCTTTCCAATACACCAGATGATTTGTAAATGATTGATTTTGTCTGAATAAATCTGTGCCAGACTTGGCTAAAAGACAAACTCGGTTGGGACGTACCTCAAAACTAAATCTTGAAAAAAGGACTTCATCAATCAATAACCAATTGGTACGGATTGTTCTTTGTCTGCTGACCCAAAGGTGAAACTAGCATCTTCAGCAGCGTCCCCCTGGGCTTCTACATCATCGGCAGCATTCTGATGTTAGTCGGTGCCAAATACCTCGCAGGTCAGTGTGTGCATGAAGCATTCTCTGTGTTCTCTGTGCACAGGTGTTACATGTGGTTAATACACTTGAAAACGAGTAAAAGATCTTAATTAAAATCTTCTTTATGCTTTTTTTCATCAGGCAACAACTAAGCTCCAGGGGGCATTTAAGCAAAGAGGAACCATCTGGACCACCACCTGTACTCTCGGTGCTTTCTTTTCCCAAAAAGGCATTACAGGAAGATGGCTATAGTTTGGAATAACTAACTGAACTTTATTATTTGTTATTATTTTTATCTACAGCACACATGGGTGTATTGGAGATTAATTTAAGTGTGCATGCAGTATTCTCTTTTTTTCACTGTTGACATGGTATGAAGTTCTGAAATTATTTATGTAGAAACTCCACCGTAAGGTACTTCAGGTTGTCGTCAAAGAGAAACTCACTGTCATACGCTATTTCTTTGTTGTGGCAGAGCACTTTATTTTATTTTTGTTTGTTAGGTGTGAACTAACAGTCTAAGTTATTATTTTTCTATCAGTTGGTATTGAAATGAAAACAAAGGCGAGGGGGTGAAGGTTGCTCTTTGGGAAAAAGTGACTTTTCTGTACATACTGTAATAATTTTAAACAGCAAAAATGTATTGTGTAATGGGCAAACATGCCACGGAGGTCAAAAGCTAATTCTTTTTTTGATATGTGTTGGAAAAGAATATATGAAGACATGGAAACAAAGAGTGTATATTTCTGTCAATTGCTTCCAAAACCACCTAGGTCCTACATTCAACGAAACAAACGGCAACAGCTGTTCATAAGTGTTTCATTTTGTCGACTAAAAAGGTTGAAAATGGACTGAAATGTTCCCCAAAAACGTTACGCTGACTTCCACTGCAGGCAAAATATTCAAATGCAAAAATGTATTATGCATCCGTAAAGATAACTGCCTTCCAATAAGTGAATTGCACTAAGATTAGTGCCACATGTGCAATTCTGTTTGGATTGCATTTTCGCTTAAATAATGTATTTCAATTTAAAGGGAGATTTTTTAAATCATAGGCCTCTTAGTCATAGTTTGAAGAGTTAATCTTAAGGAGGCGTCTATTTATCTGTTGCCCAGCCTTCATCATGTTTGTCTTCTCTTGGGATCTGAGTTGTACTTGATAGTACTTGCTCCATACTTCATCAGGTTATTTGCATAACTGAAAAGTGTAACTAAAACTGCACACAAAGTGCTCTTTTGGATATAAACACAATTGAAATCACTTCAAATTAGAGAGACAGACCTAAAATGCTAGAATGTATGAAACCAAGACTTTTTAACTGTGAAACTGTTGATTGTGATGATGAACATATGGAACAATGAAAATGTGTGTGCCAGTGTCATTCCCTTCAACTCATTCACAGAACTGTAAAGGAAATAAAAGTACTGCTGGGTTAGAAGAAATGAAACGGTGTGTGGTTCTGTAGAGAAACAGGTTTTATGGAAGAGTAATTGTCACGAAAATATGAATATTGTGCAAATTGAATTAAAAACAAAAGATATAACACTTTCTATGACACCCATGTCTATAATGCATTATACTCTGCTTGTAGCGGTACATCATTATAGCGACAAGTCCTGATACATATTCATAATGAATTGTAACTAATGAAACATTTTATAAGGTCTCATTTCATAATATAACAACTATATAAAAAGGAACAAAGGTGAGTGAGTAGCCAGCTATTAAGAAATATTATAGCATAAACAAAGTCATAAGACGTGTGTGTGACAGAACTTGGGAAGGCTTCCAATTCCTGCTAATGCGTTCTCACTTTAATAACAGAAGGTTTCTGTCTGTGCCAACACAACACGCTGGTGTTTTTTTTGGACTGCAGCCAAGCCTAACCTGCTTTTCTTGAGGGTTATATATGGGCAACACACCGGAGCTGATACAAGGGGAGTGGTTAGTGCCAACAACACACGCATGTTAGTCAACTCGTGCTCTTTCACTAGTGTAGTCTTCCACCTCTACAACACGGAGGCTTCAGCCTGCGGGTCCTCACTCTGTAGAACTTGAGAAGTAAGTGTTACCACTCATTTACTCTGTTTGCTTTTAAATGTCACTTGTCATTATAAAAAGCATTGTTTGTGTGCTTTATTGAAAACTAGCAGAGAAATGTTGTTTAAAAATATAAAACTAATGCTTTCACTTCGCTAAAAGGACTTTTCTATCTGATCTGGAGTTGAGTTACTCATTGACTTATAAAGGCTGTATTGTACCGTGGTTTTGCAACACATTGAGCTCATTTGCATATTAACTGAACCTTTATGCCCTGTTTTTCCGCTGAATAAATGGACTTTAAACTCACTTGAGTTTTTAATATTGTGATTAATATGCACATACTTTTTGTAGAGCAGGATTTAATTTATATTCTTTAAAAAAGAAGAAGCACATCCTCATTTGAGCATCAGCTTACAATTAAATGGGAAAAACATACTTTTTGTCATTTGAGACAACTGAATTCACCCTATAGGATTAGCTCCATGGTTTATTTTTTTAAATGTTTAGGACATTTATTTTGAAATTAAGTGAACTCATCTTTGGAACCTGTGAAACCAGGAAGTAGATCCAGGTGTTTCGCAGCAGTTGTTCCTCAATCTGTTGTTGAGTCAGTCTTTTTTTTAATTGTATTATCACACCCTGTGTTTGACACTTCTGTTGTGCTGACAGACACACTTTGCTTTCCAGGTTTATTGGACAAGGGAAAAGTCCAGTAAAAAAACTCCATACACATGTTGGATCCGAGAAAGAGCGAGTTTCTACCAATGGGGGCCAACTTCAACCAGAATCCAGGTCAGATGAAATGATAAGATCCATGAAAGAATGAAAACCACACACATACTTCTTTTATCTGCTTGTTCCTGAACATTTGATGCATTGCGTTGAGTACACAGGGGAATGAGGAAGTATGTGTGTTGTGTTTGTCCCACTCGACATTAGAGAACACTTCACACTTGACTTTAACCTTCTGGCGAAAGACGAATTTTTTAGACCCAAAAGTAAACACGTGATATACGTAAAATGATAAACCACATTTTTACTACACACTTTCTACATTTGATTAACTCTGTATTTGAACAGGATACGTTTAAGTTACACTTTAATATGTTAATCTTTTGCTACTTATCACTTTATATTCCACATTCAGATACATTTCATATATGGGAGTGGCTATATACAGGACCGTCCTGTACACAACGCCAAATGACTATAAACAGGACCGTCCTGTACACAACGCCAAATGACTATAAACAGGACCGTCCTGTACACAACGCCAAATGACTATAAACAGGACCGTCCTGTACACAACGCCAAATGACTATAAACAGGACCGTCCTGTACACAACGCCAAATGACTATATACAGGACCGTCCTGTACACAACCCTCTGAAATGGCTATATACAGGACCGTCCTGTAAACAGCTCTCTGAAATGGCTATATACAGGACGGTCCTGTATATAGCCATTTCAGAGACCCTATATACAGGACCGTCCTGTATATAGCCATTTCAGGGCTTCTGTGCAGGACCGTCCTGTATATAGTCATTTCAGAGAACTGTGTACAGGACGGTCCTGTATATAGCCATTTCAGAGAGCTGTGTACAGGACGGTCCTGTATATAGCCATTTGGCGTTGTGTACAGGACCGTCCTGTATATAGCCATTTCAGGGCTTCTGTGCAGGACCGTCCTGTATATAGTCATTTCAGAGAGCTGTGTACAGGACGGTCCTGTATATAGCCATTTGGCGTTGTGTACAGGACCGTCCTGTATATAGCCTCGGCCTTCATATATAACAGACTTACGTTCTGTAATAGTCCTTTATGCTATATAGTTGACCGCAGGTCATGGAGAGTAATAAGGTATCCGTAGACCTTTGTATGAAGCATCTTTATTTACTTAACAGGTCTTCAGCCATGATACATACATGGATCCTAGATGCGGGCTTGTATACACACAGTATCACTCCGCAGCCGCACCCCATCAGTAACGCGGCACTATACACGTTCTTCCCTGTTTGTATGCTCTATAAAGGACCCTGAATACATTTGATTGGTTTATCGATTTTCTAGGTCTGGTCATTTCGAGTTTTCTCTTCTGTGTTTGTGTATCATCTGCAAAAACTAGATGATACAAACTATAATTATATATTACCTGACTTTTTTAAACCTGTTTTTAAATCATACACACAAAAGAGAAAACAATTGACATCAGACTTAGAAAGGGATTACCTGATTTTCTCGTTTCTCCCTATACTTACTTACACTAACAGGGACAATTTCATTTGCTGGAATTGTAATCAACAATTTCTTCAGCACTTTGACTTGAGCAACTAGAGTCTGTCTCACCCATGGTTGTTTGCCCAATACGTTGAATGCATGTATGCTTTTGAGGATTGTTAAACAGGCCTTTTCTTTCTCTCAGGCTTCCTTATCGCTGATCCCGGGCCACCAGAATACGCCTACGCCATGCACAAGAAGACTGTGAAGGAATTGCTCATGATGAGGCGCTTTGTAAGTCACAGCAACATGACAAGACATGTTTAAGATAGCTTTAAAGCAAGTGTTAATGTAGGGTTTGTTTTTTTCCCAGGATATGTTGCAATCAACTTAATTAATTGCGTGTTCTCAAATGTTACATGTTATTTCTTCTAGTTTTGATTATGAGGAAGTTCCTTCAGTATGAGGAAGAGGATAAGCATTCCTCCACAAGGGAAAGTTGTTAGTATGAGGAAGAGGATAAGCATTCCTCCACAAGGGAAAGTTGTTAGTATACAAATGCAGGCAGTGGCAAATGTGTCTTCAAAATCCCCTAAAATACATTCATACGCTTGTCTTTAAGAAACAGAACTGCCTGCAGGACGACAAAAACTTCATCCATGAATTCAAAACGGCAAAGTCTGAAGCAATTGACGTCGACGTGAGCCCTCAGCTGTTTGGCCCTCCAGGATACCCCCATATAAGTAATGGTTTTCCTGAAAATGGCCACACTTCCCCTCAACAACTGCAACATCCCACTCCTGCTGATGGAGGGAAGCTCACTTTATTTCACTGGCAGATCCAGCAGCAGGCGCAGAGGCTCGGGGGGGCTTCTCCTGAGCTGCTCAGCATGCAGGACGCCGATGGAGACACGTAAGTATTGATGAAATAGCTCAAATGTGTGCATATTCAAAAACATATCCTATATGGCTTCGTTCTCTAATGAATATTTTTATTTTGGTTAGTCATATCGTAAGGATTTTTAGGAGAATTAAAAATATGAAGAAATTATTGACTTGAACATTTTTTTATATTGGTTTTATAAAGTCATGAATTAATGAGAGTAGTCAGAAAAAAAGTTGTAATATTATGATGATAAGTTATTAATAATAAAATAATATTTAAAGAAAATAACTGTTACATTATATAATTTGTGATTCAATTAGAATAAAGTTGTTATTTATTATTTCCCAAAGGTATTTTGTTGACCTTTGGCATTCAAGTCACTCTATTCTATCCCAATAAATATTATAATTCTGCCTTGACACAAATCCTAAGCAAATTAACCTTAACATTATGGACGTAACGTGCATGTGAATTTATTTTTGATTGCTCTTTTTCTTTCCCAACGGCCAGAGTCCTTCACATAGCAGTAGCACAAGGGAGGCGAGCTCTGGCTTTTGTGATCGCTACCAAAATGTCTCAATGTGGCTCTCTGGACATCAAAGAACACAATGGGCAGGTACAAACACTGAAGTAGCTTATCTGTGTTCATCACACATCAAATGCAGATGAGTAAAGCGATGACCTTTGTTAACAGACGGCTCTTCAGATAGCAGCTGCCACCAACCAGCAGCTCATAGTCCAGGACCTGCTGGTGCACGGAGCTCAGATCAACACCAGGGACCTGTGGGGCCGCTCCCCTCTGCATCTGTGTGCAGAGAAAGGACATTTTCTCAGCCTGCAGGTATGAAATAACTGAAAATGCATAACACTGTTGCAGCAGTGTCATCTCGATGCAATTAATAACAACAGTTTTCATTTCAAATTCATAACGTTTTATCCCTTGTGCACCCATTAAAATATTTAAAGCTACTTTTTTTCTGACCTATTTTCAACACATGTATTTCCACAGAGCATCTGCAGGACTTTAAAGGTGACTGGTCAGCAGGTGGATACTGAAATGTTCAACTATGATGGTGAGTATGTTTTATTGAAGTTTAAAGCTGGTTTGTAGGAAGTGTCCTTGTGATTTAATCCTGCTGTTCTCTGTTTTACAGGTTTAACTCCATTGCATGCAGCTGTCTTGTCTCACAACGCTGTGGTTAAAGAGCTGAGGACTCTGGAAAATCTGTGCTCATATATGGCAAAGAAGCTGGCGCAGAGGGCACACATGTACGTCAAGTGTATCAAGACTCTCCTGCTTAC